CCCCAATCACCATCTATTTTCCCATCACTCCCTTCTGTTTTCAAAGGCTATTATCGACATTAATGACTGGCGGACCGTCGACCGTTCGACGTATCATCGATAGCCTCTTTCGCTATTCGCGATTCCACTTCGCAGTTTGCCATTCTGCCTCGTGGCACGCGATTCCCCGTATATTCATACGTCGCGACATAAGAAATACGTCATTACGATCTTATGTCATGTATCTTGTGTTTTCACCGAATTCGGAAATTCTCATCGTGGGACAACTTTTTGTACGGTAATTATAAATTTTTGTGAGAAAATTTTTGAAAATTTTTTTTAATTATTAAAATAATTTTGTACGTATATCCTTGACGCGTCTCGGTGCTCGCAAAATACTCGGTGAATCGAGGTGCAACAAACGGAGGGACTACGTGTAGGACGCATCGATATTAATCCATATTGAAAATTTACCTAGTGAAGGGAAGAGAGACAGAGCGAGGACAGCTTCTGGTGGAGCAAGAGAGACTCGTGTAGCTCGTATACCGAGCGCGAGACTTCCGATAAGATATTTGAGTGAAATGCCACGGGTGAATACGCTTGTCAAGACAATGGCTGTCGAGGGTAGCAGCGACGTCTGTAAGGATAGTGTCGCGACGACGATTGAAAAGAAGGACGAGATAATGAGGGTTGGTAATGGGGGGATTGGGGAAGGAAAGAAAGTTATCATTATGCTTATTGTCATTAGCGTATCCACCTGTATAAATAAAATAAGAGTCGGCAATGCCTTTTGTTCCCTTCGAGTAAACGGGCTTTGCTGTCACACGCCTTATTTAGGAAAAAGAAAAAAAAAAATCAAAGTCTTTATTGTCATTTGCATCTTCGCCTCGAATCGGCCACTTTTCCCTGGCGCGTCCGTTCCTTTAACAATATTGTCCAACCTTGCTTCTCGACTCTCGGCCTCTTATCTTCTTACGTTTTAATTCCCATTGTCTTCGGCATCTTTCAATATAACTAGCCTACCTTCCACTCGACCGTCTTAGGCGTTGTGTTTTCTCGGGGCTTCTCTTGGTAATACTTCCCATAGAGCCTCTCCCTGTATTTTTCATTCGGTCGCCTTTGACCCTGTCGTCCCTTTCACCCGCTTCCCGGTCGTTCCGCGCGAGTCCTTGTGTGCTCCTTGGCAAATCGAAATCACCCAATCGTTACATCGGAAAATGGATTGACAATAAATTGTCTTTCCGACATTTTTAAGTGTACGAATATCGTACCAGCACTTAATGCGCATACTGGCCGTCTAAGTGCTCTAGCGTGAAATTACGTATTACGCAAGGTTACGTATGTAATATCGTTAACGATACTACGTAATTAGAGGTAATCGTTTTCCCGTAATTACCTTTGTCATTTTGGCGGTCGAGTCGTTTACGCCGATAACCTAGAGGACGCGATAATGGATTATTTTTTTTTATCTGTAATCGTATCGTCACTGTTATCAATTATTGTTTATTAAATTTTGGAAGCCTTTCCTTTAAATTTCTATCGTAAGTTTCGGCACGTCAATTCATTCTTTCAAATACGAGTCATCGACCACTTCATACCTATTCACTTAACACATGATTCCCTCGTGACTCACCCGACCTCGAATCATTCGTTGCATAGTTGATGCGACTAACGAAACTCTTGCCTTTTCAAATTTCGAATTTAATATTCTCTAATCAATATTCCGTAGGACTTCTGTCATATTCATGAGACTCCTTGGCCTGGGTACGAATTGAGATTGGGTGTCTCTGAAAAATTATTCGAAGCCTGATTCATCCCCACCGCTTCGCTCTTGTCACTGTCAGCCGTTATTAAAGAGTTATGTAAATATCGATCTTTATTTATATCGATACTCATTAGACCAATGGAATAAGCGCTCCTCATATTTATTGTAAATAAATTTTTTTTTTGAAATTTTAATTATTTAAAATTTGGTTCACAATTTCGATATTTACTCTAAACCGCGGGAAAATTCGCGGTTCATTCTACGAATTCTGGAAACCATAAGGATAAGACTTTGTCCGAATGTTCCTCAATCTCGATTCTACCATTTTTTGTCATCACTTGACCATTCTTATCCAGGATGATTAAAGTCGGTAAGGAAATTACGTGGTACTTTTTTCGTAGTGCTTCCGCTACTCGGCCAGCGGGTATGGCATACCTTTTCATGAAGAATAGTTTTATTGTCGGTATACAGATAACGCTTATATCTTACAGACGTACCAGGGTCCATGTTTCGTTGTAAAGCATTCTAACATATTGTCCTCGTCATAGTCAGATGGTATGTAAATAATTTCAAATTTGAGTTCAGCCTCGCGCGTTCTCTCGTATACGCTCTTTAATAGGGGTAGAAATATTTGACAGGGTGGACACCACGCGGCTGTGAAATATAAACCAAGATAACGAATCTCTCTGAGAGCATCGTTCACCATTACTAATTCCTGTTTATAATTGAACAATGCATTTCCTCGTAGCAGCTCCATTGATTTTACAAATTTTCTAATTGAATTTACTGTATATTGACGCCAGCCGCGTGTTATCCGTGTTTCCATGGATCAGACAAAATTTGTTGACATCGTCGTGCAGGCACGTGACGTGAAATCCGAAACGAAGGTATGACGATCGCTTTACGATTTTTTTTTTGGAGAATTTTGAATTGCGCGAGTCATTTTTATTTTTTTTTCTACTGACTCTTTTTTTTTCTCGTATTTTCATCTCCAAAGCCCCGTAGGGTATCGGCTGTTACTCTGTGGCAAAAATGTTTCAATTTCTGCCACGGTACTCATCCCTTTTAATTAACTTTTAATTACCACCGGTGTTTCAATTTTCGGCGCAAACGGCCGTCCAACCGCAGCCGGATGCTGCTAGCGTTTGACAATTTGCGTATGGCTCTTCGGCCTCGTTATTACCTTGAAATGTATTAAACATTGTGAAAAGCAGGGATTCGAATGGATTTTGTCAAATTTATTCAGATTACGAAATTTCGTTTTTGGTACGAGAGGAGTATTCTTTGGAGTACGCTTTAGCGTGGGTTTATAAAATTGTGAAAGGGCCATTAAAATAGTATACTATTTGCGAAGATATGAATGAAATGAAAAATGATACGTTAATATATAGCAGTAGGCCGTATCGACGTTATCAATGGAATTTAATATTAAAAAAAGGGAAAATTAAAATGTATCGAACAAATTCTCAAAACGGATAGTAACTTTTAAATTTAATTGTTATAACGAAAGATCATTTAATTATCGCTGGATATTTCACGTTACTTTGAAGGGTTGAGAGGAAGCACCTTCTGGGGGATGATCTCAGGGCCAAATTGGACCTTTGGCTTTTACTTAATTGGATCGATTTCTCCTGTATGAAATAAGGGTGGGTTATAGAGAGTGTCACTACTGGGATATCTGTATGGGTATATATGCATGGGGTGCGTATTGAGGAATGAAAGAGATTTAAAGGTCAAGAGTTGAAGTGCAGGTGCCACTTGAATAGATCACAGGGTCTTGTCTTCTTATACCTAGACATGCGGATATTGATGAGGTTTGTCAAAGGGGTGACGTACATTAATGGGCTGCGGTATGCAGGGCGATGGCGAACGAATTGGTCCTGGTGAACCTAACATCTCATTTTTAGAAATTGGCAAACCAAATTTTGAAATTCTCGAGATGCTGACGTAAACGTTGATAAAATACACTGTAATGTTCAGGACTGATCCGGGACTATTCGTAATTTTAAAAAATAAAAAAAAATTAAAAAATAATTTTTTCAAAATTATTAACGCAAATTTTGATAATGAGATAGACACCCCTTAGGCTAATTTAGAGTCCTTCGGTGTTTATTCTCCGTTCGTGAATTTCCTATTAATGCAATTTACATAGTTTGGAACAGGATATGACGATGGGGATGTACGAACAATAAGGGGTAGCTACACGAGAAAGGGTGCTGCGTATGAAACGACGCTTGTGAAGTTACGCGACTTCGTCGAGCCTTCTGAGAAATATGAATCTCCGTTATCCCAATTAAAATGGCGGCTTTGTTAGATTCCGGATGCTCGGCGGGGGTTGAAAGGTAAAGCCTAAGGGTGGAATGGTAGAAGTTACCAGTCGAAGGGTAGCACAGGGCTGGCTCGATATTTGCCTCTCATCATGCACATAGTGGCTGTGGATTAATTAGGAAGGGACTCTTCGAGTTCTTCCTTCTAGGAATGTAGGTCGTCGAGTCGTATAAGGTTTGCAGGTTTCAATGTATATCGAAATTATTAGGACCTTCGGTCGGAGCCACCCTGCGCGTTCACTTGATTCCTTATTTCTTATTTCTCATTTCGTAACTAGCTTGCCCTTTCTTTGCCATTCTTTGCCTTTCTTTCGTTTTCACCCTTTGTTTCCCCTTTTCTATTCAGACAGCCTGTCGAACCCGAGAAATTACTGGCACTCGATAACCACCCCCCGAGCACCCCCGTCCTATTCCACCTTCTCTACCTTCTTAACATTCTTAACCTTCTCCAACTTGTCTACCCTGCGCTTCGTAGTCGATTCCGGCAAAGTACGTAAAAGCTGGCTGCACCCGTCTATACGTTGGGTAGAACCGCGATACCTTTGTGCGCGCGAACGGGGGCTCCCTTATCGAAATGCTTAATTAGAAAATTTTAATTATGTTTCGAGGCTGTGTAAGAGGTATAGAGTGAGGGAGGTAGAGAGAGAGAGAGATAGAGAGTAAAGGAATATACAAGAGGGTATGAAGAGAAGGGGTAGATAGTATAATAGTAAAGAGAGAAGAAGCCCAAGACTGAAAGAGAACGAGACAGCCTCGTATCAGCACGCCACCCCTCGCCGAAGGGTAGTTCACCGTATAGTAATAGCAGCGAGGTGTCTCTCTCTCTCTCTGCGTTCTAAAGATAGTGCATTTCTACGGGGCTGGATGAAGCTGTAGTCTGTTAAGGGTTGTCGTAACACGAGGTTAAGCCAATTAACCTGGTACCCTCTCGTAAACATCCCCCGAAAGTGCCCCCTGCCGATATTAAATTTCCTACCCTTAATACACACCTCCCACCCGACCCTCCTGCCCCTCCGTCAGCCTCACCGCACAGATCCCATCCCTGGTCATTCTTTCCTTATCCTCACCTGCCATTCAATGTCGTCGATATTCTTTCGAATTCTCCAAGGGACGATTGGCGCCACGCGAGCGGCCGTCGCGTCCCCAGCGACTGTCCCAGCCTGCCAAGGGATGCTCCCGTTCCGGTTGGTAGCAATAATTCGCGGTCTGCCCGTAAGGGGATGCTCTTGACGGCAGGTAATTCCATCGACGACACAGAGGGCGCTGCTAGACGAACTTCATTAACTGTTTAACGAACCGCAATTTATCACGTTATAAACTCAAGCGTGTCCCGCGGCTGGTTGGCATCCGAGCGAAGTTCCGAGTTCCTGGGGGCGCAGTGGGTCCTGGGGCTTGCGTACCGCTCGCTTCGTTTAAAGACGATACCTTCGAAAGGGGCCGATCTTGAATCGTGACAAGTTTTGGGTACTATGTCTGGGTCCTTTTTTGAAGGTAGACTTACCTGGTACCGGGTGCCCAGCGATTCCTGAGGACGTCCGGTGACGTTCCTACCGACTGAGCGTTCCTGTAGGTGGCGACTCTGTAGATACCCTGATTCCTGAAGGCAATCTTGTGGCAGGTTACGACAGTTAGGATGACTCCACTAAACCTGACCCAAATCAGATCCCCATCCTGTTCCTCTTACCGGTATAGTCATTCTACAGTGCTTGGGAGTCATAGACATACTGGATGATCTCAGGGGGGCTGAGTGTCTGTATGAGTACCGACGTCCTATAGTTGGTTGGTCGTTACTCTTGCACCCCTAACGGAAGGTAGGGGTGCAATGGAGGGTAGGCTCCTACCCTCGGTCCGATGGCTTTGTTCGAATGGAGCAATTAGAGGTTAGAGAATCTCGAGAAAATTGTGGCTCCTCCAGATCATTTACTTTCGGGTAGTGTATTATATACCATCTTTGTGACGTAGTGAGATACGCAACACTGGTCCGGGTCCGCCATATTGCCAAATTCTCTCGTTTACTCGACAGAGCGAATCAGAGGGTTCGCTTATGGCGTCACGACGTCCCGACCGGGTCGCTTCATAAATACGAACCAACTTCGCAACTTCCGAATAAGTACTCTGAAGTTGTTCCTAGTCAGACTAGCGGATATGAAAGTTAGAAAGGGACGAGACGAGCTGCGCGAGTATAGAGCGACACACACAGGGCACCGTATTGCGAAGGCTTAAGGGGGTTCAGGGGGGTGCGGCGGATACCCCGTGGGATTTTCGAGAAAATCTCGCCACTCCACAAGGACCATGGGCGAACGTAGAGCGTACGGATCGTTAATTTCGGTATGGATATGTCGGCTGGGTGGCGACTGTATATAGTAGCTGCAACTTGCGGATTCGACGGTCGCGGGCCCCTCCCTTATTCCCGTGGGAAGAATCTGGATTCTGCTAATTCGTCCTTATGGAATTTGCCGCTCTTAAAGATCTACTTCTGATTTCGTTCTAGTTTCGTCGATTTTGCCCCCTTATGTGTTTACTTGGATTTTCGTACTTCTCACTCTATCTCTCGCTTTTCCTCGATTTTTATGTTAACGGCGCACTCTCGTGGAACGAATTTTTTTATTGAATTCAATTAGGTATACCGTTAAAAAGTTCACTCGGAGATGTATTTTTATGGCTTTGATTAACCTAACGGCTGATGTTCATGTATTCGATACTGTCGTTGGGCAAATCGGGGCAACAGGTCTGCCTTTTGCTGTAGCTATATGTGAATTGGTTTTGTGGCCCGTGGCTCCCGTAGTGCTTGGCCGGTTTCACTACTCTCTCTCTCTCTCTCTCTCTCTCTCTCTCGAAAAAGAAGTAACGTTTCGGTCACCCAAACTACCGGTACGGCGGGACTCGAATATTGGCTAAAAATGTAAATTGCCCCGACACCGCCGTCCAGCCATTTCGTTCGCTTCTGGCTCGCCCAACGGCTGTCAAGTAATTGAAAACACGCGTCATCTCCGGTGCCAGTTCGTTCTTCCTGGACCCGGGATAGACTACCACATATCCAGTACACACCCGTACACCCTATATAACAGATGACTGAAATGTTTTTCGTCTGCACGTTCCATAGCACATGCCATACCAAAAATTCGACCCTTGACGTTCTTTAAATATCCGCCCTTATGTCTTTACCCACCCTTTAAATTTTTCTGTACACACATATCACACGATACGTATCCTGTTTACAAGCTTACGCTCATACAAAAAGTATACCATGTAATTTTTGCAAAAAAATATTTACCGAATTTTCAAAAAAAAAAAAAAAAAAAAACCTACTCACCCCCTCCTCATTGTACGATATATCATAGCAAAACCTCTTCTATTATAGCGACACGCTGTCGAGCTAGCGGGATGTCGTTTCACGAGCCAGCAAATTGCTCGTTTGAAAATGCACCTTTCGTAATGCGTTATTGTTCACCTTAACAATTTTAATTGGTGCCGTGCGACAGGTAGCTGCCGCTGGTTGTCCACTCCGGTATATGCGCGTTCGCGCTAGCTCTGGTTAGTTACCCGAGAAGATCTTTTCGCGCATGCACTTTTCAATGGAGTGTAATTGCCGACAAATTAGCCGCTGGCAGGGAATTAGTCAAACGCGCGCTCGGGTGCTGGAAAGCTGGATGAAGCTGTGAACGGGGGTTGGTACAGATCTGTGCGGAGAGGATTGGTAATTTTATATACATAGATGTTATATATACGTTTGTACACACGTCAAGGGGGCGAAAGGGGATGACCGGGGTCAACAGGTACACCGCAGGGAATCATTGGCATTATATGGGAGCGACAGAGAGGACCGAGTGGATCGTTGTCGGCGTTTATATCCCTGGTATTAGCTTGGAATAACGCTTGCAATTATCGCTTTGTGCCTGGGGAATACATTTTCCACTTGAGATATTCATTATTATCATCAAGTGACGGACGCGCTAATTCATTCTGGTCCAGAAGGAAGCCGATGGGATAACGCGAAATCCACTGCGCTGGATTAACAGTGAGTAGGTTGGCTGAAGGGCTGGAGGGGGGGGATGGTCGAAGATTATTTTTCATAGGAAATGAAACCGGCGTAGG